AGTGATCTTCTTACATACAGGCTGAAGAGGAGATGTTTTGGTCAATATGCCTGTACGTAAATAGAAATTCAGGACAATTAAGAGGGGGGGAAACCATACCTTAATCCCGATGCCTGCTATAGAGAGGGCTTCTTCTGCCTTTGAAGCCTTGACGGGATGTCTACTTGATGTCGGATGTTGTTTTTTCCTTCTAGCCGTATGCATTTATAAGACAGCTGTTAATTCTCAAGTGCTTCCAAGACAGCTTTCTACACTCCAGACTGAATAAACGATCTCCGGGGGTTTAACAAGATGAGCATTCTCTTCTAGATACAGTCGCCGTTGGGAGAAAGGGCAAATTCCCCCCTTTTTTTGCCCCCTGTATGTGAAGTGTTTGGTTTATTTACTCGATGTTGCTCTAAGAGGTCTTAAGAGCCTTCCCACGTGACAAGGAAAGACCGCAAACTGAAATGGATTAGGATTACATACAGGATTAAGAACAAAGGATATAGTCCATTGCCCTTTCTCGTCTGAGGACCTGATCATGCACACCTCTGGACGCTCCTTCTGTTTTTGAAAAAACCCTCGTCGTTGGCCTTCAAGATGTTGCTGAACTACAACTCCTCCTTTCCTGCCTGTGAGGGGAGCACCCTGTTGCAACAGTTCAATAAAGATCAGGTTTATGAGCTGCTTGACTTCTCAATATTCTCTGGTTGGCCTGTTATTTTCTCTGACCGATGGAGAACCTACAAAGGACTCTGTAAGGGCTCTTGTGTCCCCCATAAGGGAATAAGGGCAGGTTTTTGCTTATTACAACATTAACAGCACTTTTGACCCCGGAAGAGGGCAGAACAGGGACGGAACAGGGCACAATGGACAACACGGGTTTATGCCTGACTGCTGACGCACACAATTACCCAAAACACAACCCCTGCGCAAACAGAGTTGCCTGTACTTATGAGCCGCAGGCTGCAATGCCTTTATTTTCAATGGATTTATCTAGTCCTTTTTGAAGAGTTAGCTAAGACATTATCCATTGCTACATCCTGTGGTACTTAAGACACGGGGGGAGAAATCCAATCAGTTTTCATTTAAAGGCGAACTTACTAAATTCTCACTTTCCAAAACAATACGCAAATCAAAACACAGCCATCCCTCAAAATTTGTACAGTTTTGCATTGCATCTCTCTAGTCAATAAATGCGTACTTGGGAAAGCGTGTGCAAAAATGCACGTAACAGTGAAAATAACACACAGTAATTCATTATCTTTGGGGAAATCGCTTGCAAAAATGTTTTGTTAGGCAAAACTGCATACAAAAAGCTGTTTATCGGGAGAAATTTTGCATTACAACGCTGACAAATTTTCATGGTCTGCAAATCGTCGCAGAAAAATGACAAGCTCAAGTTTAAGATTGGAAAAATAAACTTTGAGAACCAAAATGGACGGATGCATCCAGCTGCAGTGGTAAAATTCCACACTAGAAAGGTATTTAGGATGAATACTTTGTTTTGCTTGTCTAGAATTTGCTTCCAGCCCATTTGCATGGATGCCTTCAATTTCTGCACTGTTTACCTCATTAGGCACTTGTTTAACGCTAATGAGTATAAACTGGGTCAATGCAAAGCTCCCTTAACCCTTTTGGGGTTTAAAGCAGAGCGTGTTGGTAAGCAGGTAGCGACACTTCGGGTGAGATCTTGATCCTATTAAAGCCCCTGGCAACATGTTTGTTGTTGACTTCAAAACACAATTTCACAGGCAAGGATTTTGGAGTGTGTGTGTGTGTGTGTGTGTGTGTTTGTGGGGGGCCAGAAAGTATGTCCATGTCTGTTGCACTTTACCTTAGAAGCACATAATACACAGCGTTTTTTAAATATGAGATATGAAGTTCTAAAAAAACAGTCGCCCAGTTAAAACAGCATGGGATGAGAGACAACAAGCCTGGTCACTGTATCATTTTGTGAACTACAGGTAAATGTGTTGCAGTGGGAACAAAATGGTTAGATAATTGCTTCTCAATATTGAACACTTTTGCATTCTAGTGAATAAGATAAACCAAGCAGAAGTGGGCAGATATTTTTGCCTTCTAGATAAAAATGGAAAATGATCTGCCACATTCTGACAGATCCAATACAGTGGTACCTCAGGTTACATACGCTTCAGGTTACAGACTCCACTAACCCAGAAATAGTGCTTCAGGTTAAGAACGTTGCTTCAGGATGAGAACAGAAATCGTGCAGCGGCGGTGCAGCAGCAGCGGGAGGCCCCATTAGCTAAAGTGGTGCTTCAGGTTAAGAACAGTTTCAGGTTAAGAACAGACCTCCGGAACGAATTAAGTACTTAACCCGAGGTACCACTGTACTTGAAATGTGCACATATATACAAGCAAGAATAACTCGCAAGACGTATCCCCCAACCTTATGTTCCTGTTTCAAGCCGGCTTCCCACACTTCCAAATAGCACTTAGATCACCAGTCAAGCTGGCTAAGATATATCACCTGTCTGATAACAAATGTTGGAAATGTAAGGAGGCTGAAGGGACATTCTTTCACCTCTGGTGGACCTGCCCAAAAGTGAAGGCCTTCTGGGAAGTGATTTACAACGAGCTAAAAAAGGTATTTAGATATACCTTTCCCAAGAAACCAGAGGCCTTCCTCCTGGGCATGGTAGACCAGAAGGTGTTAAAGAAGGACAGATCTTTGTTTATGTATGCTACTACAGCAGCAAGAATCCTCATCGCAAAATACTGGAAGACACAAGATTTACCCACGCTGGAGGAATGGCAGGCGCAGTTGATGGACTACATGGAATTGGCTGAAATGACTGGCAGAATCCGAGATTTGGGAGAGGAAATAATGGAAGAGGACTGGAAAAAATTTAAGGACTATTTGCAAAAACATTTTAAGCTGTATGAATGTTAAGAATGTGCACGATTAGGAAACTTTTGCTTCAGCAACTCGGTTAGGTGAATTGAAAACTAAGTTATAAGAAAGGAAGTGGAAACATGAAACAATTTTATTATGTTTATTTTAAGTGTATAAGAATTGGGATGCAGCATTGGGAATTTAGAAACATGATAATTGAAAGATACAGTAAGTTATGAAACAAGGTAACAAATTGCTGACGCTTTTATTACAAAGAACGCAGGGTTTGGAGGATGTGAGGAAGTCCAGTTGGATTGTTAAAAACATTATGGAAAGTTGGATTGTTACATATTTCTTTTTTTCTTTGTTCTTTTTCTTTTTTCTTTATTCTGTATATTCTTGACTGTAAGGAAAGAAACTTAATAAAAATATTTTAAAAAACAAAAAACAAATAGCACTTAGATCACCAAGTGAGTTGCGGGTTCAAGTCCCATGTTGGGTGAAAAATTCGTGCATTCCAGGGGGCTGGACTAGATGACTCTCATGTTCCCTTCCAACTCCACAATTTTATGATATCCACAGGGTGGCGCTGTGGTCTAAACCATTGAGCCTCTTGAGCTTGCCGATCAGAAGGTCTGTGGTTTGAATCCCCGTAATGGGGTGAGCTCCCGTTGCTCGGTCCCTGCTCCTGTCAACCTAGCAGTTTGAAAGCACGCCAGTGCAAGTAGATAAATAGGCACCGCTGTGGCAGGAAGGTAAACGGCGTTTCCATGCACTCTGGTTTCCGTCACGGTGTTCCGTTGCACCAGTAGCAATTTAGTCCTGCTGGCCACATGACCCTGAAAGCTGTCTGTGGACAAATGCCAGCTCCCTTGGCCTCAAAGCGAGATGAGCGCCACAATGCCATAGTCGCCTTTGACGGGACTTATCCATCCAGGGGTCCTTTACCTTTTCACCTTACATTGGGGAGGGGGACTGGGAACCACACAAAGAAACAACTTGTTCAAAAGCTACTACTTTGTAAGTGTGAGTATTTTGTCATTATCCTCTTTGAATTGTAGTTCCCAGAAATGAATGTACTATACAGTATGATCATATATAAGCCAGGGATTCCAAGTACAGTGGTACCTTGGGTTACATACGCTCCGGGTTACAAACGCTTCAAGTTACAGACTCCGCTAACCCGGAAGTAGTACCTTGGGTGAAGGACTTTACTTCAGGATGAGAACAGAAATTAAGCGGGGGCAGCGGGAGGCCCCATTAGCTAAAGTGGTAGCTCAGGTTAAGAACAGTTTCAGGTTAAGAACAGACCTCCGGAACGAATTAAGTATGTAACCAGAGGTACCACTGTATTATACGCACACACAAAAATCACATATACCTGAGCCCTTGGTGTCACCCTGCGTCTAGCGGATGAGGGGAGATACGGAACCCTTGTACTCTACAGCTGGCGTACTGGGTGGGTCTCACCTTCATGTGAGAAGAAAGGCTTTAAAGCTCTTTCCATGCTGAGTAACCTCAATCATAGCTGGCACGAAAGAGCTTTGAAGCTCTCCATCTTGCTTGGATTTGACTTGTGCAATTTCAACCAGCTGCATGTGGTTGAAATTGCGCAAGTTAAATGCATGTAAGATGCAATTATGCCGCTTTGGCTTTTTATGCTGCAGTATTACAAGGCTGGGGATGCAGGTGGCACTGTGGTCTAAACCACAGAGCTTAGGACTTGCTAATCAGAAGGTTGGTGGTTCGAATCCCCGCGACGGGGTGAGCTCCAGTTGCTCGGTCCCAGCTCCTGCCAACCTAGCAGTTCCAAAGTGCGTCAAAGTGCAAATAGATAAACAGGTACCGCTCCGGCAGGAAGGTAAACGCCATTTCAGTGTGCTGCTCTGGTTCGCCAGAAGCGGCTTGGTCGTGCTGGCCACATGACCCGGAAGCTGTACATCGGCTCCCTTGGCCAATAAAGCGAGATGAGCGCCGCAACCCCAGAGTCGGCCATGACTGGACCTAATGGTCAGGGGTCCCTTTACCTTTATTACAAGGTTGGCTCTGGCTCAGAAACCACAGAGTCTTTGATGCCATTTTGCTGCAGTATAAGAAATAGGCAAGATAAGAGGGAGGGTGGAGGGGAAGAAAACCACCACCGCTTTAAAAATCCATTTATTTCAGTTCTGTCCTCATAGATCAACAGCAAAACATTTTATTTCGGGGGGGGGGCAATAAAAATAATTCATCAATTCATCAACTTCAGCTTCTGCTTACCAATCATTTTGCAAGAGCAGAAAAAAGGCACTAGTAAGCTGAAATGTTTTTGGTCTGATTTTGGGTGCAAATCCAGGGCACTATTAATGGCTTTATACACTGGGAGGTGGGGGCTGCTGGGGTATCCACAGTGAGTCTCCTTAGCCTACAAAAGGAGATGTGCAAAATGAGAATTTTCTTCTACAGCATCTTTCTAAAGTGTCCCATGCAAAGTGAAAAAACCAGAGTTTGGGGGGCAGTGAATCGTTTGGCTACTTAGGAGCCCCAGCAAATGCTCAGTTCTATCATTTTCTGAAGTTTCAGCAAGCTCTCTGCATTTTTGTGCCTTCACAATCTGCTGAAAATCATACGAAGACGGAACTCATAATGCTCCACTCTGTTGCAGTTCTGTTTCTGTACGGTCAGCGCTCCTCTGTATATGAGGGAGGAATGATTTCAGGTTCTATACAGTCAACTGCACCCAGTGAGTGACCCTTTAACTCACAAATATTGTACAGGACACCACAGGCTGTAATTACAGCAGACACGTTATCTTCAGCAACTGGGAGTTTGCATTTGAGACAACATCAGCATCCCTTAAAGCAACCAAATCGTGCATCTATTAAAACCGTGGCTGAATAACATTTTTTGGGGGGCGCACTCTATGATTCCATCAACCCCTTCTTCTGCGAGGTATGTGTTTGCCGTGAATTGGTACAGCAGGGTTCCCAGGCACAGATACCCACATCCATTTCTTGGCAAGGTGCAGTTTACAGAAATGAAGGCATCGCGGTTTTCGCCACTCCTGCTAACTTCCAGACTGATAAAAAGTTTACCCTGGTGTCTGTTCCTTGTAATGGGAACGGAATGATAGTTTTTCCTTTTAGCATGTTGATCTGATTTGTCCTGGGATAGCGTCTACCACACCGATGCAGTGGGGGAAGCCCGTTTCCCCCCCACAAATTGCTCCATGATCTGCACAAAGACCAGAATAAAAGAAAGAAAGAAAACTAAAATCAGTGCTCTGCTACTGTTAGGCCGACATGCACCTGTAACACATGGCAATTCTGTAATGAGCTGCAGTTTTTGGTAGGTTGTCTCCCAGCTGTGGGATGTGATCCATGAGAGGCAGTCAAGTACAGCATTCCTTGTAATGCCAGAGAAGACATGCAAGCGAATGTTTGGTCCAGCCAGTTGAAACTTCCTGTTCCTCTTGGCTGCAGCATCCTTCCTTCTGCATGTGATAGAAGGTGGGTGTGACCTAACCTGTCCAGGTAACAAAAGGACAAGTCACACAGCACCCTTCCCTTCTTTTTGACTTCCTTCTTTGTTTGACCAGCTTTTAGTTAGGACTGCTCTGCTAGCTCTCAGCTGGCAGAAGCACTGGGATTATTCCCCCATATGGGGTAGATCCACATGTACATATTTGGTCCAGCGCCGAGGGCCTTCTGGCGGTTCCCTCACTGCGAGAAGCCAAGTTACAGGGAACCAGGCAGAGGGCCTTCTTGGTAGTGGCACCCTCCCTGTGGAACCCTTCAGATGTCAAGGAAATAAACAACTATCTGACTTTTAGATGACGTCTGGAGGCAGCCCTGTTTAGGGAGGCTTTTAATGTTTAACAGACCACTGTATTTTAATCTTTGTTGGAAGCTGCCCAGAGTGGCTGAGGAAACCCAGCCAGATGGGTGGGGTATTAATAAATAATAATAAACAATAATAATAATTACTAAGTCTGCCTTCAGGAATCCAACTGTGAACTGATGTGAGAAACTTCTTTTATTGACTTTGAATAAGATTGTGGCGTCTTTATTCTTTTAAGAGGGATTCAAGGGAACTTCCCAGGAACGTACAATTCAATCTGAGACAGGCTGAATTGTATAATAGTGAGAGGCTCACACGAGCCTGCAACCAGCTATCTGCTGTGCATGTAAAAAGGGGGATGTAACTCTGCAAACCAAAGGAACTTGCTAGCACAAGTTAGGAAGGATATTAATAAACAATATATCCTCTCCTGCCACCCTGAACATTCCCCACACCAGCTTCACAAACTGGCTCGGTAGCAGATGTCTGTTAGCAACCAAAACTCCAGGACCACATTTGCCATGGTGGATATCCCAACATCAAACTGAGCAGCCACTTCTCTCTAGCAGGGCACATTGGACAGCCACAAAATTCCTGGGTTTTCCCCTGCAGATATAGCTTCCTGCATTGCTGAAGCTGATATCAAAGAAGGTCTGATCTCAAAGAGGGCGGCTCATTCAGAGGTTTTTAATTCAGCGTTCATCAACCCAAAGTATCATGACGAGGTTCTCTTATCAGGCAGAGCCTGATGGATAAACAGGCAGTCAGACAAGAGTTTTCCCTTTCTTTCCTTTTCCAGTTGGGGCAGGTCGCTACTACTGGGGGCATAAAATAAGCTTGCGTTTCCGGGAAAATAAGAAAATGAGAGACTTTGAATACCAAGCTTTCTGGCAAGAACAAAGCAGTTAAATGCCAGGAATTGCAAGCAGGAATGTTGGAGAATTCCTCTAAAAACAGAAGCGGGAGCAGAGATTGCCACTGGCTGCTTATTTGCTCCACGTCTGGAACTAAAATCCATCCAGTGAATATAATCAGAATTTTCTGGTGTCGTTGGCTTTCAGTGTGCAAATGATATGTAATTAGTTACGTCCCACCCGCTTAATTTGCATTGTGTTTCCTTGGCACTGAAATGGATGGGGTGCAATAACGTAATTAAGCAAATGATGTAGTTTTGCCACAGAGGACAGCAAGACAGATCCTGTGGGCTTTGGCAGAAGAACTGCTGCAAAATGTAAACAGTAGTGCACGTGACGAATGCAAGGTGGAACAAAAACTGACACCTTCTTACACCCCTAATTGCAAGCCGGAAGTGCCGGGTATTTGGATGGGTGTCCGAACTTCTATTCCAAATGACAATCTGCATTAAATATCAGAACTTACATGTTTTCACACCAAGTTCCTGATCCGTGTCATGTAATTGCCAGGGGTTGCAGCACTCATTACGGTGGTGTAAACTGTTCCCCTGGTAAAGAATAGGAAACGAATTGAGTAATGGTATATACCAGGGACGTCCAAATCCCAAGAGACTGAGATCTACTCACAGAACAAAAAACTGGCAGTGATCTACCCCTTGGGGGGGGTGTGTTTCAGGTCAAAATTGTTGAGCTTTCTTTAGGGAGGAAAGTCCCGTTTTGGGGGGTTCAGGTCAAAGATGCTCTCTTGCCACCGCAAAGGAGAGGGAGCCCACGAACTACAAAAGAGAGGGAGACCACAATCTACCAAAACCTTCCGGGGATCAACCAGTCGACCGCGATCGACCTGTTGGACATCCCTGGTATATACTGTCGAACAGCACCCCAATCTCTGAGCACTGTGAGATTCCAGGTGTTCCAGGCACTTACCCTGGGCTTGGTTTCCTTGGAATGAGGGACAGCAGAGGCTGTACAACCTATGATGGAGAGGCTCACAGTACAGTGGTGCCTCGCAAGACGAAAAGAATCCGTTCCGCGAGTCTCTTCGTCTTGCAGTTTTTTCGTCTTGCGAAGCAAGCCCATTAGCGTCTTAGCAGATTAGCGCTATTAGCGGCTTAGCGGGCTTAGCGGATCAGCTGATAAGCGGCTTAGCGGCTTAGCGGATCAGCTGTTAAGCGGCTTAGCGGATCAGCTGATAAGCGGCTTAGTGATCAGCTGTTAAGCGGCTTAGCGGATCAGCTGATAAGCGGCTTAGCGGATCAGCTGATAAGCGGCTTAGTGGATCAGCTGATAAGCGGCTTAGCGGATCAGCTGATAAGCGGCTTAGCGGCTTAGCGGACAGTGGCGTAGCGTGGGGGTGCAGGGGGGCCGGCCGCACCGGGCGCAACATCTGGGGTTAGGGCAAATCCACAGGTTAGGGGGCGCAAATCCACGGTTAGGGGGCGCAAATCCACGGGTTAGGGGGCGCAAATTACTTGCCTTGCCCCGGGTGCTGACAACCCACGCTACGCCACTGTTAGCGGATCAGCTGTTAAGCGGCTTAGCGGATCAGCTGATAAGCAGCTTAGTGGCTTGGGGAAAAGCGGGGGGAAGGAAAAAAACCGTGCAGGAACTCGCAAGACATTTTCGTCTTGCGAAGCAAGCCCATAGGAAATTCGTTTTGCGAAGCACCTCTAAAACGGAAAACCCTTTCGTCTAGCGGGTTTTCCGTCTTGCAAGGCATTCGTCTTGCGGGGCGCCACTGTACAGTAGTACCTCAGGTTACATACACTTCAGGTTATAGATTCTTCAGGTTACAGACTCCGCTAACCCAAAAACAGTGCTTCAGGTTAAGAACTTTGCTTCAGGATGAGAACAGAAATCGCATGGCGGCAGTGGGAGGCCCCATTAGCTAAAGTGGTGCTTCAGGTTAAGAACAGTTTCAGGTTAAGAACAGACCTCCAGAATGAACTAAGTTCTTAACCCGAGGTACCACTGTATTAATGCCCCCAAAGGGTCTTACTTCTGCCATAGCCACAGTCTTGGATCCAGCAGAAATCAGGCATGGCTCTGCCTCTCTGCTGCCCAGCCTACAGCCTGCTTCTAGAGCACACATTCCACTCTGGCTTTTGTCCTTCGAACTACCAGCAAGGCGAGAGAGGGGCCCCCACTTATTTGCCCTCTGGCACAGAGCCATTTCCTTTGTTACCTTCCTTCCTTCCATACTTAAGGGACCGTAATGGCCCTTGCCTGGTTCAATTCAGCAGCTGGATCCTTGCTGGATCCCAGGAATTAAAAGGGACTCCATCATACAACCTCATCTGGCTTGGTGCCCTTGAAATGCTGCTGGATTGCAGCTCCCGTCATCACACTGGCTGGGGGCTCATGGGAGTTGTAGTCCAGCAACATCTGGAGGGCACCATGTCAGCTAGTCCTGCCATAGAGATATTGATAGGCCAGCCTCCAGGTGTTGCTGAACTACAACTCCCATAATGCCTAGCCATTAGCCATGCTTGCAAGGGCTGCTGGGATTTGCAGTCCAACAACATTTGGTGGGGACAGAGGTTCCCCATCCGAGGCCTAAAGGAAGGCGGGCAGGGTGGAATCCAAACCTATTATAGAAAAAATGCAAACAAAACTTACTCATTTAAGACAGGATAGACTGATAATACCTGGAAAAAACCAAAATGAAATGAAAGGAGTCCATTTATTTATGTATTTAAAAGCATTTCTAAACAGCTGAAGCTTTTAAAACGCTGAAGGGGGTTACGTTCTGAGGCACCACGTGCACCAGTGAAATCACGTATATTTAAAACACAATTGAAAAAGCCTGCAAGCGACACAAGAAATACCAACAGTGGAAGATTGGCAGATGAAGATGATGGATTTTTCAGAGCTAGCTGACCTGATGGGAAGAGTCCACGACCAGGAGGAGGAGGATTACCAGGAGGAATGGACGAAATTTAAAGACTATTTAGTTAAATATGTTAACTTAATTGGAAAGCTTGCAAATATCAGATAGGCTTAGGATTTAAATATGTAATGTGATTAACTAATATGTTTAATGCCAAGTTTGGAAGAAAGAAAGATGTTAAGTCATTAAGTTAATTTTATAAGAACATTGGTTTTGGAAAACTGTTAAAATGATACACAGTGAAATTCAACCAGGGGGATATGAGAAGTCACTTAACAATGTTACTAAGATTGGTTTAAATAGGCCGAGATTTATGTTTGTTTATATATTTGTTTGTTTAAAAAAAATATTGGAAAACTAATAAAAAAAATTGAAAAATAAGAAAAAGCCTGCAGGCACCCTGTCCCATCCTGCCTCTTTTTTAAAGCTCTTGGGTCACTTCTGGGTTCAGTGTGCTGTGCTTATACAGGGTAGCTCATAAATGAAGGGTTTCCCTGTAACAACAGGGTCTCCTCTTGCGGGCCATGGAAAGCCTGGGCAAAAAGAAAGGCCTTTACAAGACACACAAAGCAACTGATGGATGGTAGTTCATGTATGCCAAAAGGAAGGGCCTTCCTGAGTGCAGGGGCAATGGCACCTGTATGTGTCAGGGACCGTGTTGAGGAGGGGTGCGCTGAGGAGGAATGGTGGGAGCCTCCCCCTCCCCCAGATCTTGAATTTTCCCAGGAGCAGGAGGACAGTGTAGATTTGGAACAGTGGTTTGCAGAGGGGCATAGTTCAGAAGGCAGAAGCTGGGAAATGCTGGATGGGGAACAGCTAGGAGAAGAAACACGGGAAGAGAGAGGGTTAACAGATTCACCGTCTCTGGGAAGCATTCACATACACACACCCCTTGTCTCCAAAGTTATTGACAGCTCAGAAAGTGTCAGCACAGAAAGCACAGAGGGTACAAGCTCAGATTACAAGACGTAGGAGTGGTGTAGACTATTAGGGATGGAGGGGGTGTTAGCCTTAATTGGGAGCACCGCCATTCTGGGAGATGTGTTCTTTGTTCTCTCGCTGTGATTATTAAAGTTTCTAACTGGTAAGAACACTCCTTTTCCTTTGTTCTGCTTATCTACAACCATGGGGGAGAAAGCTGGTTCCCTGAAGCCTGCCATTTGCAAAGGCACCCCAAGAGGTAATCGCTCAACCCCTTAACTGAAATTAGGCATGAAAGAAGCACTGCGTTGCAGCCAATACAATACGCTCTGGTGTGTGTGTGTTACCCCCAAAAAGGTTCTCGTTTGCAAATGTGGCAAACCTTGAAAAATCCCAAGAGAGAACTATCCTAACGTAAAGACCTCAAAAAAAGTGAGTTTTGTTTTGTTTATAAAATGAGCAGGATGTAAAACGGAAGACTTACTTTGTAGAGAGACTCGATATTAATATTCTTCTGTCCAGTGGCATTCAGTGCTTTCATGGCTTGGGTTCTGCAGAGTAACAATAAAACCATTTCATATCGGAGGTAAAAGGTGTTGGAGTGTTTTGCGATTCTCCTTGCCCATGCAAAAATAAAATAATAAAAGAACAGCAGTCTTGCTCTGTGAGATCCGTTTCGATTGACGCAGCCTGACAACCCTAAGGTAAAGGGACCCCTGACCATTAGGTCCAGTCATGACCGTCTCTGGGGTTGCAGCGCTCATCTCGCTTTATTGGCTGAGGGAGCCGGTGTACAGCTTCCGGGTCATGTGGCCAGCATGACTAAGCCGCCTCTGGCGAACCAGAGCAGCACACGGAAATGCCGTTTACCTTCCCGCCAGAGCAGTACCTATTTATCTACTTGCACTTTGACGTGCTTTTCAACTGCTAGGTTGGCAGGAGCAGGGACTGAGCAATGGGAGCTCACCCCGTCATGGGGATTCGAACCGCCGACCTTCTGATCGGCAAGTCCTAGGCTCTGGTTTAACCCACAGCGCCACCCGCGTCCCTCTGACAACCCTACCTATGCACAAAAGGGAGATATTCCAACTGTGGAAGTATAACAAAGTATGCATATACAGTTCCTTTTCTTCTTTCTTTAAAATAAGATAATCTTGACACAATTTACCTCCCAGCAAAACATACGGTACCTTCGATGATCTAGAGGAGGAGGGGTTGTCCAGTGATCGTAGTTTGTCTCTACCCGGTACCACCTACATAAAATGAACATTAAAACTTTATCACTGTATCCTTTTGCCATATGGGTATAAGGTCCTTTTTTTTTTTAGGGGGAGATTAAGTAAAGGTAAAGGTCCGTATAGTTAAAGCCATGGTCTTCCCAGTAGTGATGTATGGAAGTGAGAGCTGGACCATAAAGAAGGCTGATCGCCGAAGAATTGATGCTTTTGAATTATGGTGCTGGAGAAGACTCTTGAGAGTCCCATGGACGGCAAGAAGATCAAATGCATCCATTCTTAAGGAAATCAGACCTGAGTGCTCACTGGAAGGACAGATCGTGAAGCTGAGGCTCCAGTACTTTGGCCACCTCATGAGAAGAGAAGACTCCCTGGAGAAGACACTGATGCTGGGAAAGATGGAGGGCACAAGGAGAAGGGGGCGACAGAGGACGAGATGGTTGGATAGCGTTTTTGAGGTTACCAGCATGAGTTTGACCAAACTGCGGGAGGTAGTGGAGGA